GCGACGACGAGTCACTGCCGCCTGAGTATCGCCACGGTGACATGGTCATTGGTGGAGACGATGAGTCACTGCCACCCGAATATCGGCAAGTCGACATGAGCATTGGTGGCGACGAGGAGTCACTGCCCTCCGAATATCGGCAGGGCGACATGGGCATTGGTGGCGACGAGGATTCACTGCCGCCTGAGTATCGCGACGGCGGCAGCGCGAGTGGCGACGACAGTGATGGCTCGCCTCCAAGGAAGCTATCTGCCTTCATGCGCGGACGAGCACATAGAGGACCGTATATTGTCAGAGCATAAGGTTGACTGGAAGACAGCAGGTAGCATGCCCAGGATGACACGACCTCAGCGAATTGGAAGAATTGGCCAGTTGCCGGGAGCTTAGCTCTCAGCCGCCACCAGCCAAAAGAAGGGTACGAACAGCCTGTAGACACGGAGGATGCAAGGAGTCTCGCAAAGCAATGTGGGCACCACCCGAGGAAAAGCAGCAGCATTGCTGCAAGATGGAGCCGGCCATGTGCAACTAGCAGCAGCGGAGCTGAACCAGAAATCCTGGGGGCGGTTTGTCGCTACAGGGCTGCTTTGCACTAGCAATACTAGCACATGTGGCATCTAAAAAGGGCGAAGAGTAGAATCAGCGCCTTGCTCGAGTGCACGCTTCACAAACGGCACTCATCTGCAAGGTGCTTCCAGGAGCATCGGTGTACCCGTGAACTTCAAAACTGATAGTTTGACGCATGCACAGGCAGCAAAGTTTGCCTGTGCCGAACTGTAGTCCATAGAGCCGTTGTAGTGCAAATCCTAGCATTTACATGTGCCGATAACAAAGTTTGAGGCCATTGGTCACATTAGATCACGAGAAAAGTCAGCCTCTGCTGGTGCACTTCTTGCGGTTGTGTGGTATCTGCTGTCGATTTACGGTGTGGGCTTGTCGAGTGATGGGCATCATCGCGACATGGAGTTGAGATATGGGGAGACGATCGTGATTTGGGGGCGAAACTCATTCGCGCAGTAGTGGGAGCATTGGCACGAACGACATCTGTCCTGTTGGTGGATCCTGCTGGTGTCAGTCCTGCCTCGACGGCCGTCTACGGCGTTTGCAAAGACTGCCGTCAAGGATGCAACAAGACAAGAGGGCCGAGGAGGCCGATCTTCAAAGACAGCTGTCGAGTGCGTCCAGTGCATCACTACGGTCATGACCCTAAACCCTCGAATAGAAAGCCTAAACCCTGAATCTGGTCCGACGTCGAGCGGAAAGGCGTCGGAAGTGGACGAAGCTCGGTAGATCGAGACGACAACTGCTTCGTCCTGCACCGAATGATGATCTGCATGGTGACCGGAGCTTCCGTGACCACGATGAGTCACTCTGAGCACCGGCTCGAACACGGTAGGATTGGGATCCGGTGGGCTGCGCTTGCTCGCGATGCGAAGCAGGGGCTCGCTCGGAAACTGATGCTCGGCAGCGGTTTCGATGAACGGGGGCATTTTCAGGGACAAGCAATGCAAACATAGTTGCAAAGCCTCGCGATGGTCGACTTCGCTGCAGCGCTTATAGCCCTGAAGGTAGCAGCGTAGACAGCCCCCTGTCCCGACAGCCGCCATGGGTTTGGTCTTCTCGAGTGGTGGAGGTGCTAAGTTTAGGTTCAGTTATCCAGTCCATACCGTTGCCGAAGGGAGCTACAAGAATCCGGACCAAGCGGCGCAAACGGTGCTTCTTCTTGCCAGGCGGTGGCGGCGGAGGTGGTGGCGGCGGTGGCGGCGGCTTCTTCTTCAGTGCCCGACTCGGAGCCATCTTGGTTTCTGTGCACCACGCTGGTGCGGCAGCTGCTCCACTGTGTCGCAAGCTACCCTGAGCTTCTTGCCAAGACATGTTCTACGAGCGCTACGCTGACGGCCACCAAGAAGGCATCAAATACGTCGGCGCAGGCTGGGGGCAGTGCAGAGAGGCAGTTGCAGAGCTAAACAGCTCCCGCTGCCAGGAAGGGGCGACATGGAGACGAAGCTCGTCGAAGTTGCTGCAGGCCAAAGGCAGGCGAAGAACTTTTCGAGAGTCCCAGCATTGCCGAGTGCAGGTCAGGGCAGCTACGCGAAGCAAAAGGATGCCACCTACGGATACAGGCCAGCCTGAGCCGCATCCGGAAGCACGCCCCAGATTCGAGTGGCTTGTCCGTTGGGGTGCAGGTGCCGGCCCGCGGCAGCTTGCTGCTGTGTGTTGTTCGGCCGGTGCCTCGAAGACAGCAGAGCTGCACTATTCGCTTTCACCGACAGCCGGAAGCAAGTTTTTTCCAAGGTTTGCTGTTGCTCCTGCTCCCGTTCTTGTGGCTCTGCAGTGTGCGGCTCTCGGGTCCGGCTGAACTCTGTGCGTCGCCTTGCAAAGTACAACGGAGGTCCGCTCCGTCTTCACCGGGGAAACCTGCGAGCGCGGACCTGAGCCATCCAGAGCCACGACCGAATCGCGAAACCCCAACTTAGCACAACGACGTGAGAAGTAGCAGATCATGTGATGGCGCGACGACAAGTTGTGGAGCCGCGAAACCCCTCATAGCCTAAGATTTGCAATCTGACAGAACGCCGCCCAAAAATGTTGTCAGATCGATGGAGCAGGTCAGGTACCGTTCAATTCGAATCAAGTGTTGCGGTCACGGCAGTTTGTTGCATTGCCGAGCTAGCGAGCTAGCTGTCGCACTCTGAAGGGCCGGCCGTGATGACTTTTCTTGCGGAGTCTCGGCGGCAGATTGCATGCGTGGTTCCGGGTCGCGCGTCATCTCCGATCATG